AAGTCCAAACCCAAGCCGGCTTTTATCAATGTGTGTGTGTGTGTGTGTGTGTTGTGTGATGGGGAGAGGCCTCGGCCAAATTGAGATCAGTCCTAAATCAATCCTAAGCCCATAGTTCATATTTGGGTCTGTCCAAAACGAACACAAAATCTACAATCTCTACAGAAGCCCAAGTCCAAACCCAAGCCCAAGTCAACGTGGGCTTTTATCAATCAAACTCTAAGCTGCGTGTTATCTACAATTTTTTAGGGTGAGCATGGTTGAATTTGGTTAAATTTTGAACAAAACTAAGACCAAATCTCTACTTATGATTTCATAAAATTTGGATTCGAACCAAACCATGAAAATGCAATTTTGTAATGTTTAGAACTACGATTTTCATAAACTTTGTTATTATTCATAATATAATCATAACTTATTCAAAGATTAAACAATATATCATCATTTGACAAATAAAATTGTTTAAATGATTGTTTAGAGTTAATTCTACTATTATATAATAACAAACTTGTAAATAAAAGGTTAACAATTTATGAATATATATATATATAGGATACTAATAAAATTCTTGAGTGTATATCATAAATAACAAATTATGCCTTCGTTTGGGAAGAATTTTTTTTAGCTTGATTTTTTAATTTTTAACTATTTTAGTCTGGCTAAAAAATTTTCATTTGGGATGAACTGTTAACTTTTTTTGTAATTTTGTGAGAGAAAAAGTGAAATGATTATGATTTGAATGTAATATTTTGTTTTATTTACTTTTTAACCTATTTTATCTTTTAGTTGACTATAGTGCTTGTTTGACATAATCTATAAAAGTCAAAAAGTTATCACTATTCACAAAAAAAAAAAAACAACAACAACAAATTTACACAGGAAAAAAACACAAGCCAACTGTGGCCACTGTAGTGATGGTACACTGTGAAGTGATGGCACAAATTTACATAGGCGGTGCACAAAAAAGTTTACACAGGACAGTGCTGTTCAAACCGTGGGGCCCCATCACGAGTTACGTTTTAATAATTTGAACCATTCAATATGTACAACTCGTCGAGTACTATATGCCTATAAAAAATCATGTTAATCGGATATCGATAGTTATATGATCAAATCAATTTTGCATAAAAAAATGGATGGTGAACAAATTAACAATTGACAAAAAAAACTAATCCGATGAGATAGCTATCGATATCCGATCAACTTGATTTTTTACAAGCATATAGTACTCGACAAGTTCTATACATTGAACGGTTCGGATTATCAAAACGGGACCCGTGTTGGGGCCCCACGGGCCCAACAGCACCATCCAGTCCACCACACAACCTCAAAGCAACGCAGTTAATTGGTTTCCTAAACAATCACTGTCAGTACACGCGGGCATTAGGGGTAATCCGGTAATTTTGCAATTTTATACAATATTTTAATACACATTTTTTCGTAAAAAGTCAAAAAATTATCACAAACAACCATATTTTTTTCCTCTACTTTTTTATCCAAAAAGTCAAAAAGTACACTTATATAGTTCTTCCCAAGCAACCCCTAAATTAGTCCCAACTTGCTTCATAAACAAGGCCTATATATATGTATATATCTAAACGGTTTGATTCGGTTTGGTTCTAAATCAAAACCATAACTATAAAATCATAGTCCGAATATTGAAGTGCGGTTCATCTATTTTAAAAATCAGGACCAAACTATACATTGAGAAAACCAAATAGACCAAACGGTGTGATATGATTTAGATCGAACCAATTTTTTTTTTGTCAAAAAAAATTTACAATTTTTTCAACTTTGATGTTCCTCAACAATTTTTTTGATTTTTATGTTCCTCTCTATAATTTTTGTTTGTTCTTGTGAACAAGCTTTTCAAAGTAAATAAATAACTAAAAACAGGAAAGAAATTGATTCACTCACCTTTGATATGCAAGGTTGTAAAAAATCCAATTCATGAAAATAAATTTAAGTTACAATTACAAGTAGTCTTGATTAATGAGCAGTCGTGACATATACTAAGCGAGTTGCCTTTGTCTTTTAATTATTATTTAATAAATGTCAGTTAACAAGTAAAAATTTATGTTTATATAATTGATTTGAAACACCACATAAATAGTATTACATAATTAAGTATGTGAAATTTAATATAGACTTTCACAAAAATGATGTTCTTTGGTGTAATTTATTTTAAAAGTTTGTGTTAAATTGTTAGTTGTAATTTTTATTTATAATTTATTAAACAAATATAATTGAAATAAGTTGCAAAAAAAACAGATGTTAAAAATTGAGAGAAAAGTATTTTTTATTTTTATATTTTAATTATTAGGGTTGGTTTGGCATAAACTAAATAATACAAAAAGTCACTATCCTATTTAAGTCACATCATCTTATTTAAATCACATCACCTCTCTAACACATCACATCAAACCCAACCCAAACCCAACCCATATACGCCAAAAAATCAAAAAATGCACTTTTTTAGAACATCCCAAACCAACCCTTAATTTATACCTTATAATAAATTGCACTCAACAAATAAAATGCCAAAGTGCAAGTACTAATGCAAACACTGTTTAATCATTACCACATGTCATTCATTGATTTAACCATTCCTTGATTTAACATAGAAAAGTTTTATCAGGAACCTGCATGACTAGGGCATTTAACACATGCAAATTAGTGATGATGAAATAGTCATTGGCTCAATTTGCACATCCAAAGTTTTTAGGCACGTCGTTCAAAAAAAATAATAAGTTTTTACGCACGTGTCAAATACCCTTTTCCTTTTCTTTTTTTTTCTTTTCTTTTTTCTTTTTTCTTTTTTAGTTAGGTGTTAGGCACACTAGCCACCAAAGCCACGTGATGGGAATATCATCTTGGGCATGGTCCAAAGAGACTTTCTAGTGAATACTATGTTTGCTTAACCAAAACTAATGTTTTAGTGAGGCAAGTTAGGCATGTATAGTGAGTGGTAGCGAGACTTTGTGACAGAAGGATATTTAAAAGAGGTTAGGCTTGCCAATGAAATGAAAGCTTCCTTCAACTGAGATATTCTTGATAAAGAAGGATAGAGTTAACATTTGTAATTGGCACCAACCCTTCTGTCTGTAATGGCATAAAATTATTTAATATTACTCGTGGTAAAATTTAATGTAAATCTCACAAAAATTACTAGTGAGGATGTATTTATGACATTGTCACAATAGTGTTAACAATGACGCTAAATAACAACTCTTACAATTATTATTCTTTAATGTCATTTTCATGCACTTATTTATTTATTTATATTTATTTTTTAAATTTCACTGGTAATGGGCCTACACAATAGAGGATACTAAGAGTCTATATGGGTTTTAGCTTGGATCAAAATTTTGTAAACAAGGAGCAAAAGAATATGAATTTAATGTATGGCTCATATTTATTTAAGAGGACAATTTCATTATATAATAGTCAAATCTCAATCACACAACATATTTTTAAGATAGTTTTAGAGCATATATTCTTACTATAAATTAGATATCAAATCCATATAACCAAAAATAACTAGGAGAATCCTCTCCAGTCTAAACTTTGGATTGAAGGTGTTGTTTGGGTACATGAGATCCACCACGGGTCTCGTTTTAATAATTCGTACTATTTATTTTGTCAGACATTTTGTGTATTTTTTCCACACAAAAAATTGGATTGATTTAATATCTGCAACTTGTTTAATTTACCGTGTTTTAACCTAAAAAAATTGTGTTTAAAAAAATAAATCATATATTTTTTTGGTTAAAAATACAATAAATTGAATAAGTTACAATGATCGGATCGACCTAATATTTTGTGTGAATGAAAAACACAAAGTATTCGACAAAATGAAAGGTTCGAATTATAAAAATGAGACCCATGATCAATCCAACGAATTCTAATTTAAAATCTAAATTAGAGGGGATCCTCCTTAGAATAACAAATGGTGTAAGCGGTTGAATTCAATTAGAAAAGAGATTTACATAAGATATTTTTTTTAAAAAAAATTATAACAACTTGTAGAATCCCACAATGAAAATAAATGAAAAAAATTTATCAAAATTGCTCTATAAATACCACTCTTATAACTTTTATTACAAAACATATATTATTAATCAGTCATTATTAAATGCTCAAATAATTAGAGCAACTAGGTCATAATAATTTTGAAACTTTTGAATTTTATTTTTTTAGAGCTAAAACGAAAATAATAATTTATAAAATCATATTATCCTTATTTATCTATTTACACTTATCTATTCACATGTCATCTAATTATCTATTAATTTGTTCACATATCATTAATTATTTTTCTATATATCACTTATTTATTCACCTTACTTGAATAATACTATATGTACCAATTAATGTATTAACTAGTATACTAACAGATGACGTTATATAATTTTAAAAGTTTTTAATATTTATAATTTGTATAATAAGTTGAGTCAATAATAATAACATACCACTAATTAATACACTAGTGTGTACATTAATTGATACATGTAACATCGTCAAACTTACTTATCTATCTATATCACTATAGCTATCAGTCACCCATCAGCCACCGCCGCCCGCCTCCAATTAGTTTTCCTGCACCCATGATTTTTTCAGTAACTGGCCAATGGTGGTCCGGCGGTCTGGTGGGGATGATAGAATTCACATCAAAACTGAATAAACGCGGTTAGATTCCTTTTAATCTCTAAATTTCATGCGGCTGATAGCTGCCCACCATGCTTTACTGGGCCACTGGCACTTGTGACGATTGATTCCGATTTTGTTGTCTCTCTCTCTCCTTATCTAAACTCTGTCTGTCGTTTTATCTCTATATGTGCAAAAAAAACATATTCTGATCTAAGAGCTATGTTTTTAATCAATTACAAACTATTATATATTTTTATATTTTTCAATTATTTAATATAAAATTATAAATTTCACTATTTTTATCGATCACCGTATCACAATAAAAAAAGGTCGCAGACATTATCTGTGGACCAATCAATAGCTTCTCCCATATGTGAGCTTCACTTTCACATTACTCTTTCCTTTCTCCAAACTTCACTGTACCCCACTGTACTTCCAAAATCTCTCTCTCTCTCTCTCTCTCCACTCCTAATATATATATATATATAACTCTCTGGCTCCCTGCTAAACACACTCTCATACTTGTAAATGTATATATGATAGTGTAAATGGATCCTCCGATAATCAATTTGACCTCTTTCTCTGCCGCTAATCCTTCGTCCTACAGTTTGGCCGAGATTTGGCCCTGTCCGATCAATGGAAACGTTGTTGGGAGTGGAGGAGGATTAGGGCTGAGAATGAGCAATTTGACTGGATTCTGTGATTCCGCCTCCAATCGCGACGTTTCCATGGACGAATCCACGGTTACGGAGCAGAGCGGGAGTCGCAGCGGTGGCGGTGGGAGGAAGCGGAGGGATGCTAGTTCCGGTGATGATGAGTCGTCGAACCTCAGTGGCAACGATTTGGTAATTCACTTTGTTCATTCAGTTACTTGTTTTTATGTCTGATTTGAGATGACCTAATTTAGCTGATTTTTTTATTTGTTTAACGTGGTTAAAAAATTGTGTTTGGAATAATTTTTTTTATAATTAATTTAATGATTATTTGTGAGAGAAAAAATAAAATAATTACAATTTAAATGTGTTATTTTATTTTATTAATTAAATTAATATATTTTATTTTTATGCACTAATTTAGCCAAAAAAATCTCATGCAGGCTTTCACTTTTTGTCTCTTTAATTATCATTATCTTTTATTCCATTCTCAAATTATTAATTTTGTCTGTCTAGGACTTTTAAGTAGTGGTTACTTACTCTTTACCAGCTTAAAATTATGTTTAGGTCTGATTTATTTATCAACAATGATAGAGATCACTAATTTTGGAGCTCTCTAAAAAGACCACTAATGATATGGCACTCAATAAAAAAAGAAAAAAAAATACAACACAAAGGTCAAAACATCAAATAATTCATGGTGGGGCCTACTGCCATATCATTAGTGGTAGCACTAATTAGTGCTCCCCCTCATTTTCCTTTATGTATATAATGAGTCGATCTCGAATTTTTTTTTAACAAGTTGAATACGAATTGAATTTGAATAAGTTGTTTGGGATGGTCTAAATAAGTGCACTTTTTATTTTTTTATGAAAAGATGTGCAGAAAAGTAGAGAGGTGATGTGATGAAAAAAAAATAAAAATATGGATTATTTTACGTATGCCAAACTTTGCCTATAATTTTTTATAATACATATAATCTTATCAAGCCGAGTAATAAATTGTTCAAATTTAACTTGAAAACTTAAAGTAATCAAGTTTCATTTGTTTACCTAACGACTCAATTTCAAATGAGTTTTTAATGAATCAAATACAAGTTAGACTCATGCAAGGCGTTTTACTTTGGCTTAAAACTCACTAGTAGTTAAAAAAAGTCTTGTGCAGTGGCAATTCACATTTTTATAGATGGAGTCACCCCTACAAATTTAAGTATCATAAATTTTATAAAAAATAAAAATTATTTTAGTTTTTTCTTTATTTAGTAAATTTTATACTAAAGTTTTTCTTGTTAAGCGTAAGTAGATCTAATTTAAAAAGTTCACTAAAGATAAATAAAATACAAAAACTCAAAAACTGTTTTTTTAATTTTTTTTCTAATTTAAAAAGTTTACTAAAGATTCAAAAAAATACAAAAAATCAAAAACTATTTTTAAATTTTTTTAACCAAATAGAATGATTTAAATTTCTCAAACAGTGTATTTCTAATGGCAAGAAAAATAAACAAGTAGAAAATTATTTATTGATATTTACAATATATTTCTTATCGTAACTACTAGTAAATATTAGATGTAACAATGATACTACGTGACGGTATCACCATTTAATAAGTAAACTTGATTTGAGAAAAAGATCACAACAATGTTGGGTTAGTGAGAGACAATAATCGTCCACTAATTGCATTTACAATTTTTTATTAACTTATAATGCCATCATTATACTCAATATTTTTTCGTCTAAGAATGAATGTGGATGTTTATTTGATTGGGGGGGTCTCTCAAGCTTTTTTTTGTGGGATCAAACTATATTAAATAACACCCATCAAGGTGAACATGGCGTCGCCTAGTGTAATAAATTCTAATGTATATCAAACTATCTAACCTTAACAGTTCACCAAACTTGGTGGTTCTTTGAATAAAAAAAAAAAAACTTGGTGGTTCAAATGTGAAATAGTTTTCTTTTTTGTTTTTCTGGGCAGAACAATTCAGATGGAAAACGAATGAAACTATCCAGATCGAGAGTTGAAAATGGTGGCTCAAACTCAAAGTCAAAAATGGAATCAAATTCAGGGCAAGGAAACATGGCAGCTGAGAAGCATACAAAGCCGAGTGAAGAGCCTAATAAGCAAGATTATATCCATGTGAGAGCAAGAAGAGGTCAAGCTACTGATAGCCACAGTTTAGCAGAGAGAGTAATTTCTCTTCAGAGTTGTTGGAATTGCTATTTATCATTTGTTGAATTTATTTGTAGATTTCTGTTTGCAGACTGAAACTTGTTGTTTGTCAGGCTAGGAGAGAGAAGATCGGTGAGAGGATGAAGATTTTGCAAGACTTGGTTCCTGGATGTAATAAGGTATTCTCATATTTTTGTTGTTTTTTTTTGTTTTTTTTTTTTTTTTTGAACAATTTGTGTTATTTTAAAAACAAATGTGTTTCTTGAAAAACAGTGAAACAATTTCTTTTTAAATAAAAGACAGTTCCTTACAAAAAAAAAAAAAAAAAAAATCTATAAGCTTTACACATCAAAAAGAAAAAAATTGAAAAAAGACTTTTGGATATTTTTTGTTCCCTTTAGTGAATTATTTTGGAATTTTTTCAAAAAAAAAATTACTTTTTAAATTGTTCTACACTACACACACGAGAAAGTAAAAATTTTGACGCAAATCTAAAAAAAAACTCACTAAAGATAAAATATGGTTTTTAAGCTTTTCCCAGAGGGTGGCAATTGTTTTTTTGGCAGCTATTTGTTCACTCTTTTTCACCTTCTATTAAATTTTTGAAAAACAAAAAAAAAAACTCAAGGTTTGAGCCTCATAACAAAATAAATTCTGTATTTTTAAATTGATTAATTTAAACCCTAATATTTTGATTTGATTTAATCAAAACCATTTGTCTATTTTCGCTAAATAAAATTGACACAAAAAATAATATTTTAGTCATGAAACTCAATTGTAGGTGTATAAAAAAATGTCTAAAATACTCATTTCCTTGAATTTAATGACTAATGTACACTTTTCTAACAATTTTACTTAACAAAAATAAATAAATAGTTTAGATTGAAAATAAATCAAAATATTGAGGTTTGAATTGATAAGATTAAAAATTCAGAATTTATTTTGTTAAAAGGCTTAAATCTTAAGGGTTTTTTTGTAATGATCCTAACTTTTTTTTTTAAAAAAAAAAATTAAAAACTTTTCATGTTCAAGCCTCACTAGACTAGACAGATCTAAAAACTAATATATATATTGGGAAAAAAATCCACTAAAAAAAAATTAAAAAGCTAGGGGTTTTTTTATATAAAAAAAAATCCACTGAAAATTTACTTTGTTTGGGGGGTTTTAAAAAAAAAAAAAATCTACTGAAAATTTACTTTTTAGATTCCTTTAAATTAGACAGACTTGAAATAAAATAAAATAAAAAAGTTTGAAAGTAAAAATTAGAACTTTTTATAACAGAGATACTCCCCAATTTGACTATTCCTCTCATTACATCCAAATAATTTGAGAAAACCTTAAAAAGCTCTTTCTAGAAAATAGAAATCTATTTGATGGAAATTCAGAAGCATTTTACCTATATTCCAACTTAAATTTGGTATCCACCAAACAGCCCCCATTTGTATTCTTATTGTGTATCCACAAAATTTTTAATTTGATCAGGTGATTGGAAAAGCACTTATCCTGGATGAGATAATTAACTACATCCAATCACTGCACCATCAGGTCGAGGTAATTAGCTTGTTCATGGCACTTCTATCACATTACCATTCCTCACACTGACCTCCTCTGTAAAAGCTGATTCAATTTTTTTTTATTTTTTGGTGGGGCATATGAATTGGATATTTTAGTTCTTGTCAATGAAGCTTGAAGCAGTCAATTCAAGGATGAATTCAACCATTGAAGTATTTCCTTCCAAAGATGTAAGTCTATATGTGCACTCATATATTATTCAGAATTTTGTATTTATAAAATTAAGCTTTTTATTTTTTATTTTTTATTTTTATTGAATTTTTAAAAAAAATTTAAGTAAATTTTTTATTTTTTAGATATACTTAAGAAGTATAATATTTTGTGATTTTTTTTTTTAAATTCACCAAATACAAAAAAAAATACAGAAAATAAAAAAAAATCAATACATTATCTTATTTTGTTGTATTCAATAATTTTTTTTAAAAAAATTTGTATAAATTTTATACTTCTTAAATATATCTAGATTAAATTGATCTAATCTAAGTATAATGGTGAAAAAAAATGAAAAATTATATTCATATAGAAAATTTACACAAAAAAATATATATATTTATATATCATAAAAATGTTATAATAGTGGTATTGTTGTAAATATAAATCATGTTTATTAGTGTTTTGTTTTAAAGTGAAAGGTCACCATTAAGCTATATCATTGTATTCGAAAATTCTATATAAAATTTATATTTGTATATTATCACTCAATAAGAATATAGTCATGTACAATTTAATGATGAAAAGTTATAGAATATACTCATGATAATAGGAAGAAGAAATGGTAGAAAAAAATGACAAGATGATCATTTTAAAAATTTTAGCGCATGATATCAACAATCCAATAAGCAATTTGTAATGAGATTACAAACCTTAGAGAAGGGAATATAATTTTTCAAATGTAAAGAAAATATTTGTATTAAACAGAAATCTCAGGAAGTGTAATTGTAATTTACCCGACTCCTATTTTGCAAATTCCTCTTCTGTGTAGTTGTTACGTGTGTGTTGCTCATTTCATGGTTTCTTTTACTATTTTTTTTGTCTGGTGACGTTGTGCTTCTATTTACACAACACCTTATCTTTTTACATCCATTCTCTAATTCCTACCTATTCTCAAATTTTGAAATTATCATTGTATTTCATTACACACTCCATAATCCAAAAAATATACTCATTGCGAGGAGGGTTTGTTGGAGAGGGAAGGTGATGTTGGGGGGGGGTTGGATGGGTAGAGAAATTAAAGTTATGAAAATTTTATGATTTGAAGATATTTTAGGTAATTTTATATAAGGATAAAAAATTATAATAAAAATAAATAAATAAAGGGAGAGGTAAGTGTGAGAATAATAATATTAGTATAGTATATATTATGTGAATATTATTCTCACAGTAAGGAGATACATTTTTTGTGTTGTAATAAATAGAAAGTGCAGCAAGGCACTTTTGTTGTTAGTTTCCTCTTTCTATGCTATCTGACCAATAAAACTGGTGGTTCGGTTTGCAGCTTGGAACACCGACATTTGATGCAGCTGCTGCTGCTGGAATGATATTCAGCTCACAAGCAACGAGAGAGTACGTGCAAGGATCACAAACCGAATGGCTTCATATGCAGGTTGGTAGCAGTTTTGATAGAGCAGCATGAGCTGACTATCACTACCCCAATCAATTTGCTGTTAGGGAATCGAGCAGAGCATACTAGCTCTCCATGTCTAATGCAGAGTATTTTCTATGGATATGACACATTTTTAAATTTGAATATCAGAAGATTACTGAGTATGTGTGCAGAAAATTGTTGTCTTCATTCTGTGTCATTATCTAACTTGTAAACTAACTGTATTTCCATTGTATTGATACTAAACAGACCCTTTAAGGTGAATTTAGTACTTGAACTTCCATATTATTTTCTACAATTTCCTAGTCCCTCGTCAACATTAAACAATTGCAAAACAAAGAAATGCAGTGCATGTAGTTCATATACTGGAAAATGTTAATCCACTCAAAATACACTTCAAATCATCAAATGCACTTGAAAAGTCAACAAGAATAGCAGCACTCAGATTTCAAGAACATTAAAAAAAATACATTTACTTGTCAAAAACAATCGGACAAAACCATCTGTGTCAGATTGATTTGCTGTCTCAACAAAAACTATCACAGCCACACAAATTTATGGTTTTCCCAAACTTCATAGATTTTAATGGCGAAGTAGAATTTTACTCTGTTTCTCTAATGGATATGGCCCTATCATTTCATGCAAAACATTGAATGATTTGACACTTGAAAGCGAAATGCGTAAAATTAGGTTTGTCTCTGAAGTTTCACATCAATTTCAATAACGTGCACGGTGGTGGCTTGAATGAAAGAGAAAAATGCGTGCCAATAGAAAGAAGAGATAACCTCAGTGACACATCTCCATGGCCGCTGGGCTGATGGGGATCACACCAGATGGGGTTACAAGAGCATCGATAAGGACATCACTTGGAGTAACGGGTATCACTCCCTCATCCATTATCTGTACTGTATATGACAGTGCTACTGCAAAAACCGAGCCAAACACATTGTTAGAAGGCAAACCAAATTGTATCGGTTTACTATATTAAGGCATGAAACGTGTACTTTGAGATAAGCAATAGAATATGACACGAACCAAGGAGAGGTTGCTTCCATTTCCGCTCCTTTGCAAGCTCTTGGTATTTCATCAGGAGGGTATCGTAATAGCTTTTTTGAGTTACGAAACACATGAACACAAACAATGAAAAATCAAATCAATAGGGGAAAAAATAAAATTTTAAAAAACGAGGGTTCCAGAACATCATAACAACTCCAAGTGACAAATTGGTTCATTTAGGAGAATAAAATAGACTAAAAATATTACTGTTGGAGATTTAAAAAGGCAGGTTTTATATATTATATGAGCAAAAACAGCGGATTTTAACAAGGTCAAAGAGAATAAACCTACCCTCCACCACGGCCCAAGCGCCTTCCTGATTTATCAAATGCAAGTCCTGCAAGCAAAACCAAAATAAATGTGCCCTGCCCAAGTTTAGGTCAAATTTTCAAACATGTGATGGGTAAATCAAGAAAACAGGATAAAAACATGTACCGGGTAATAGAAATAAGTCTACTGGGTCATTTGCTAGCATAACTGCGAGAAGAAACATAATTAAGTTCCATAGAAGTATTAAATCTAACACTCTGTTCCAGCAGCACATCAATATACAAATGGAGGAGACATAAAGTCCATTAAAAAAAAAAAAGAAAGGAGCGTATAATACATCATTACATGCTCTGTCTGCACAAATTGATTTTCAATTGATATACTTGAATGAAAAATATGGTCAACAATTTGACGCTAAACTTGCTGTTCTTTGTCACACTTCAAGTTAATATGTAAATCACATTTTACAAAATAATAAATTAGCAAAATCAACAGCACCCTCCCAGTAACAGAGGCAACCAAAGATGCCTGGAGACGCAAAATTAATGTCTTCGGTACTTATTCTAATTTATCTTCCATTGTGAAGGATAAATCTGAGAACTAGCTGCATGATTAGGTGCCTCATAAATTACATGACATAAGTTAACTCTAGACTCCATGATTTGATTAAAAAATAACATTTAATGTATTAGGCGATAAAGCTTCTAAAGTACTGCATCTCCAGGGGATAAGTGGATTCACCCCCAGAGAGAGAGAGAGAAATGTTTACATGTCTAGCAGGGGTATAGTTTCATTAACCTACCATCTTCACGTTCATTTCCTTCAGCATCTATGGGAGCTGGTTCCAGAATGTTCATTGAATTAGCAATTAAATCATCAATACTTGCGATGTTAAACATCCGCATGTTGCTATTCCTGTCCTCCACCCGCGGAACATAAAGCTTCTTTCCCATCAGTGAATGACCATCTTGAGTTGAAAATATATTGAAAGAAGATCAGTGAAGTAACATATATGTGTTAAGTACTTAAATTGAGAAGAAACAACTGAGAGTTCCGATAAATCAATTGGACAGACAAATAACAAGTTGTTTCTTACATGACAAGCAAAAGGCAGTGGATAATTCAGAAATAAAAAAATTCATAAAAGTGAATCATCTGACAGATCCCATATAACCATCCATTTCCACATCTAAATCTAACTCAATCAAGAGCATAGATCCAGAAAGAAAGAAGAGGAAGGGTAATTTTTATTTTTTACTTTTTACTTTAAAAAAGAAAGAAAAATAACACCCCTAATTTTAGTATTGCACAGCATTGTCAAATTTTTTACCTAATGTAAGGCATAAATTGACAAAACACACCTTTGGATGGATTCTGTAGAATTTCTAACAAAACAATAGTTGTGTCAACTTCTCGTAATGCACTACAGCTTATATAAGCACATAACCGTTTGCAAGACTTGAACCATGGAGCTTCCAAAATAATATTTTGAATCATATTGTCTGCGACAAAGAAAAAGAATAAAAAAAAAGCAATTTTGTAAAGGTGAATGAACTTTGAAAATATCTTTTCCAATGAATACTGCAGAAATAACAAATAACAGCAACAAACAACCACTTTTTTTCATTGAGTTCTGAAGATGTAGATGTGAAACAGAAACAATAGAAAATAAAGACCTCAACTCAACAATTAGTATGAACTACGACTTCCTCAATCACAACAATGTCATGGAACACAATGTCTGTGATCTTGGAAAAAATAAAATGTTGAAACGAAAACTTTCTTTCGATCCAACTATGTTTTTTGTGCTACAAAGAACAAAACAAAACTATTGAGCAAGTTCAAGAAAGTAGATAATTCTTTAATGAATTGTCATCATCAAAACCATCTTGCACAAGACAACCTTTAACAAAAAGTAGAAACTTTTTCAAAGCACCAAAACAAATATGAGTGAAACCATCTCTCTCCCAAAGGATAGAGAAAAATGAGATTCAATTCAACCAAGAAACCAACTTCTCTCTTGGAACAGAGAAACCTAAACACATACTGTCGCACACATCTATACTATTATCCAAAGCACATAACTCATAGCAAGCTTTATCACGACTTTTTTATAGCCAGAATACCCCTATGCATAGTAATTAATTGTTGAGATCTTAACTGTTTCAAATAACTGTCATAATTATTTTAAATTTCACACATGTGCCCACAAGTCTAGTGTATATAAATATGTACATATTTATTCTATTATATAAAGCACACTACCAAAAATATTTTGAAGATTTGTCACATTTTTTCCCCAAAATGCGCATATTGTTGTTAACTACTCCAATAAATAACTGCTAACTGTTTTCAAATTCAACCCATCTTTCAGAAGAAAGTTGTACAATATTGGCTTACCCTAATTTGGGGGAGACCATGTCTATATATAATCAATATAAGATACATGGAAAAAAAGAATTAAATAATTACACAATCAAATCCTAAAATCTAATCCCCAAATAACTATAATATATAGAAATCACGGGATCTCTTAAATATACAGGCCTTGTTTGGTTTGTTTCTCAGAAAAATTTTTGGGAAAAATTCTCTACAAATAAATTTTTAAGAGTAATCAAACCAAATAAATTTTTCCAAAAAAAATCTAAAAATTTTGTTTGGTTACCTACTTTTCAAAATCATTTTCTCTCTCATATACATCAAATCAATCACTTTTTTTAAAACTCTCTCCCCAAAATAATTTTCCAAAACCATTTCTGAAAAAAAACAAACCATACAAGTTTTCGTACTTTTTATCTCAAAAACTACTCTACAAACACAAACCAAACACACCCACAATATTTCATATTTCAACACTCCCCCTCAAGCTAGATCAAAGATGTCAACCAAACCCAATTTGCCAATGGAAGATCGACGTAGGGATGGTCCTACAGATTTGGTGAAGATGTCGGCAGTCTGATCAGAAGATGGAACAAATGAGGGACATACAATGCCAACTCGAACCTTTTCCAGGATGAAATGAATATCAACTTCAATATGCTTAGTATGCTTATGAAGCATAGAGTCAAAGGCAAGTAAGATGGCAGACTTATTGTCACAAAATAGCATGAAGGAATTATTCTCCTCAAAGCCTAACTCGGTAAGAATGGACCAAAGCCATAGTAACACACATGTCCCATAAGCCATGGCTCAGTACTCAGCCTCAGCAGGTGATCGAGAAACAACCGCTTGTTTCTTGCTTTTTCATGATAGAAGATGGGTACCAAGGAAAGTGCATACCCAGAAGTGGAACGTCTGTCGATCAATGAATCTGTATAGTTTGCATCAGTAAAACAGGACAATTCTATCTGAATCCCACCATTGAAGAATAAACCTAAACCTGGACATGATTTGAGATATCTCAAGATGTGGTGAACAGCATCAAGGTGAGCAATACGAGGTGAATGCATAAACTGACTAACCACACTCATAGCAAATGTCAAATCTGGTCGTGTATTAGTCAAATAGATCAAACGTCCAACCAATCTCTGGTAGCGAGATGGATCAGAAAACAACTCACCAGACTCAGCCGAAAGTTTCAGATTCGGATCCATAGGAGTAGATGCAGGCTTGCACCCTATCATACCGGTGTCCCGAAGAAGATCCAAAGTATACTTCCGTTGGGACAATGATATCCCACTGCGAGAACGAGCTACTTCAATCCCCAAGAAATATTTGAGAGGACCCAAGTCCTTGATATCAAATACTTGACTAAGCTCTTGTTTTACCTTAGCAATACCAATGGTGTCATCTCCTATAAGGATGATATCATCTACATAGACCAACAAAATAATACATCGACCATTGGGCTGACGACGAATAAAGTATGTATGGTCGAAGTGACACTGAATAAAATCCATGGATAAGATAACAGAGCTGAAATGGTGGAACCAAGCAGGAGGAGATTGCTTCAAGCCATGGAGAGACTTACGCAGACGACAGACCTTGCCAGCGTACTCTTCCTCAACCCCGAAACCCAGGTGGAGGATCCATGTAGATCGTCTCAAGCAAGGCCCCATGTAGAAAAGCATTCTTGGCATCAAGTAAATGAAGGCGCCAAGAAAAAGAGGCAGCCAAGGAAATAAGTAAACAAACAATGATCAATTTTGCAACAGGTGCAAACGTAGCCCCAAAATTCTTGCCACGAACCTGTGTAAAGCCCTTAGCAACAAGACGAGCCTTATATCAGTCCATTGTACCATCAACCAAGTATTCGACAGTAAAAACCCACTTACACCCAACAGTCGTCTCGCCAGAAGATAAAAAGACAAGATCCCAAGTGTGATTATACTCCAAAGCAGCCATTTCAGTTTGCAGAGCTGCAACCCATTGGGGATTCTGGAGAGCCTCAGACACAGACCGCGAGATAGAGACCGACTTAAGTTTTCTAAGAAAAGACCGATGAGAAGCTGAAAGGGCATCATAACATAAAAACTAGGAAATAAGGTGATTAGTGCTACTAAACCAACCAAACCGATTAGGGGGACGGTATTCAGGAGTTGGATAACGGGAAGGAGCTGGGGAGTGAATAGTAGAGGGAGCACCTGGGCCTGAGGGTGAAGAAGATGCTGGAGGGGGCGAAGCACGAGGGCGACGGGAGTATGTCTATAATGGCGGAGGACTGGCAGGTGCAGATACAGGCGATGATGAAGGAGCATATGAATCAATGATAGGAACAGGGCGAGCACTCGGTGACACAGCAGGAGGCGGTGCACCAGAGGTGGAATCCTGAAACACAAGGTTAGAACCAAAAAATGGCATATCTTCGCAAAATGTGACATCCATAGAATGATAAAAACGACGAGACAACGGATCATAGCACCTATAGCCTTTAGAGAGAGCTGAATAGCCTAAGAAGATGCATTTAAAAGACTTGTTATCTAACTTGATCCGAGTAGGACTACGATCCTGAACAAAACAAGTACAATCAAACACACGAGGTACAAAAGGAAATAACACAGTATCTGAACGAAGTAATTGAAAAGCGGCAAACCCGTGAAGAATCCGACTAGGTGTCCGATTAATGAGGTAAACAACAATAAGCACAGCCATATGACAGTAGGATTTAGGGACATTCATCCCACAAAGAAGACACCGGATAACAGACATAATATGACGGTTTTTATGTTCAACAATTCCATTTTGCTCAGGGGTGTAAGTACAAGTGAGTTGCTGCAAAATTCCCTACTGATTAAGTTGGGAGCGAAATGCATCAGAGATGTACTCCCCCTCATTATTAGAACGAATATTATGTACAACAGTATGGAATTGGGTTTTGGCCATTTGGAGAAATTGAATAAAAAGTGAAAGCACATCAGACTTCTTTTTAAGCAAATAAACCCAAATACACCTAGAATGGTCATCTATGATAGTCACATAATAGTGATGCCCAGAAAAAGCCAAAAGAGGAGAAGGGCCCCAGATATCAGAGTGAATAAGGTCAAATATACAGGAGGCGTGATACATGCGAGGAATATAAGAAATACGAGTATGTTTAGACAGTTCACAAACAACACAATGAAACTGATGATCCTTGCAAGCTTTATTAAGTGACAAAAAAAGTAAACATAAATAATTAAAGTTTGCATGTCCTAAACGAGCATGCCACAAGGCTAAAGTCTGAAAAGAAAACACATAGAAAGACGACTCAGGTAACACAGCTGCTTGCAGGCCAGAAGTGGTAGGATGAGAAGGTGTTGGGTCCCCGAAGTAGTATAGCCCATCGCGCTCAAACCCCCTGCCAAAAATCTTCCTCAAAGTCAGGTCCTGTAATAAGTAATGAGTAGGTAAGAAAATAACAGCACAAAGAAGGTTTTTAGCAAGGCGACTAACAGAGAGAAGATTATAAGTAAAACGGGGCACATGTAAGACAGAAGTAAGTGTAATATCAGATGACAAGGACACATCACCCTTATGTTGGACATGTGAAATAGACCCATCAGCAAGACATACAGTCTGAGCGATAGTAGAGATAGGAGAGGATAAACAAGAAAACTCACCGATCATATGATCATTGGCCCCAAAATCCAATACCCAAGTAGGTGCAGTGCGAACATGAAAGGCTGTGGGAGTACCTGTAGCGAGTGTGGCAATGGAAGAGACACTTGGAGACATGGTAGTGAATGAACTAAGTTGCTCTCGAAGGCGACCAATCTAAGATTGAAGCTGATGAAGATCAACAGAATGAGACGGCTGAGGAATACTAGATGTGTCAGCAACAACAGCAATATAGGGAGGGCCTGAAGGGCATACCCTTGCAAAGCGTTGCTTCAACTCAGGATGAAGCTTGAAGCACCGTGCTTGGACATGACCAACTACACCACAATGGTGGCAAATAACCTTGCTACTAGAAGCACGAGAACTAAACTTGACAGCAAGAGCCATCTGATCTGAAACTAAAGATGAGGCAGGAACAGAGGAAGGAAGCGAAGCCACCGGTTGAATCAATCGATGACGATGCTCCTCGCTGTCAGTAGTAACAAAAGCCTTATATAAGGATGACATAGGTGAAGTGTTCAAAATTTGAATACGAAGAGGCTCGAAGTCAGGTTTTAAACCCATCAGAAATTGATAGGTGTGCTGGCGAGCAAGACAAGCAGACACAACAAAAGCGGCAACAGTTGGAAAATCACTCAATGGCTCATACTGTGCTAACTCCTCCCAGCGAGACTAAAGATACCCAAAAAATTCAACAACGGTAAAACTCAAAGCTTCCTGAGAGGCATGAGAAATATCCTGATAAAGCTCGAAAATCCTAGCATCATTGTGGGCATGTGCGTACATCTAGGTAAGAGCACTCCACAGCCGAGGAATTGTATCACAGTACATAAACATGTTGTAGATGCGTTCTTCCATAGAGTTGAACATCCAACCAAGTAAGGTGCAATTGTCAATATCCCATTGAACCCGCTTAGGACCATCAGCGGGAGGTTGTGTCTCAGTTTCCAAAAGCCACCCAGATTTGCCTCTACCCCCAAGGTAGAGACGTATAGACCGACTCCAAGCAGCAAAGTTGCGACCATTAAGCAATACACTGGTAATCCGATGAACCGGAACATGGGAGGCAAGGGAAACATCTGAACGAAGCATAATGCTCTGGGTTTGTGAAACAAAGTCAGACATTCTTAAACACCACGAAGCTGAAGTAGCAGCGTCACACAAAAAAGATGCTACCGAACAAACCGGTAGCCCAAGTAATAAGAAACACACACAGGTTGCTGACCACATCAGCAACACACAATCCTAAAAGGGTTAGAAACCAGCCTGGACCACCCTAGAAGGATGCCGAACTGCACAAAACCAGGACAGAGCTTGGTCGGCAACGACTGGAAAGGACTGCCGAGGGAGAGAGAAAGGGTTTCAAATGGTTGAAAGGGGCTGGGTAGGTGAGTCGGTTACTAGGAAAGGGAGGAGAGGCTGGCGGTGGTGATGGGTAGTTGCGGCTAGGGTTTCTTTGGCTCTAATACCAAGAAGAAAGTTGTACAATATTGGCTTACCCTAATTTGGGTGAGACCATGTCTAAATATAATCAATATAAGTTACATGGAAAAAAAGAATTAAATAATTACACAATCAAATCCCTAAATAACCGTAATATATAGAAATCACGAGATCTCCTAAATATACAATATTGCATATTCCAACACTTTCTTCATTCATCAAATCGCCAAACAATTTAACAGCAAGACTACAGACTCAGGATTTACTACCCATAATTTACCTAGCAATCAATGATTCAAATTCATTTTATTTCAGTCATGTACCCCACACTTAATCAATTTAATCTCCACCACACAACAAACTAATTTCGAACAAATTCTAAGATACTAAGTCTGGGTTCCTAGGCTTTTTTTAAAATTTAAATGTAAAATTGCATCCACAACTAGTGTACATACATACATATATGTAAATACATTGCAAATGTATTAGTACAAGCTTGGGGGCAGTTGAGCAGTAAAATTACAACTGTAATTTTGCCTCTAATGGTTGATCACTGTGCTTAAGGTGTTATAGAGAGACAAGTAGATACCTTCTTGGGATCTTAATGTGGGGTCCATGTTCTTGAGATCCTTCCTGACTCTGGATCGGAGGGCTCGTTTCTGCTTGAATAAGGCGTCCAGATCACCAGTGGTGGTGGTGGTGGGGTCTTTACGGTTGTTCATAGCGGCGATGGGGCGAGATGCGGCGGCGAGAGAGAGACACACACACAGGAAGGGTGGGTTAGGTGGTGGTGGTGCTGCTGCTGCTGCTGCTGCTTTGCTATCGTGCACTTCTATGTGTCCTCGCTCCACCTACCTCAACTCAACATTTTTAATTCTACAGTGGTTGTAACGGAAAAGATTTTGAGTAATGGTAGGGATTACGGAAAAAAAAATATTAGGAAAATAATGATGAAAATTTAAATTATACATATAATAAATATAATAAAATATTAGGTATGGCTTTTGTCTAGTCTGGGATTGGTCCGGACTGGATCGTGCTGTTGGGCCTGTGGAAGCTCACTACGGGTCCTGTTTTGATAATCTGAACTGTTCAATATATAAAACTCGTCGAGTACTATATGCCTATAAAAATCACATTGATCGGATATCGATAGCTATATGATCAAATCAGTTTCGCATTAAAAAAATTGGACGGTGAACAAATTAACGGTTGACAAAAAACTGTTTTGATCACAAAGCTATCGATATCCGATCAACGTGATTTTTTACTGGTATATAGTACTCGACGAGTTCTACACATTGAACGGTTCAGATTATTAAAACGGGACCCGTGGTGGGCCCCTGCAGGCCCAACAGCACGGTCCAGTCCGATCCCGGACTAGACAGAAGCCATACCCTAAAATATTACATTAGTTAAAGGATAAAAAAAATTATGAAATATTTTATAATATTTTTTTCATGATCCCTAGTATTATTTAAAGATTATATACCAGTTTACTTTCTGAACTTATTTTTCAAAGTGCTATTTTAAATATTTTAATTAATTATTATATTATTAATGCCTAATTTAAAAACATGCTATTTTAGTAACTTTTTAGCTAAAATATGAGGTAAAAAAAATTAGTATGTTTGGGATGACTTTTTAGCATTTTACCAAAAGATGTGCAAAAAGTATAGAGAAAAATAAATATTTGACTTTTTAGTATAAGCTGTTGGCTTTTTGATTTTTTTAGTAACTTTTTGATTTTTAGACTAAAATAACCACTTATCAAACGAGACCTAAAGGTTGGTTTGGGATGTCCTAAAAAAGTACATTTTTTGATTTATTGGTGGGTTTGGGTTGGGTTTGGGTTGGGTTTGATGTGATATGTTAGAGAGGTGATGTGATTTAAATAAGATGATGTGACTTAAATAAGATAGTGACTTTTTGACTTTTTGACTTATTTAGTACATGTCAAACTAGCCCTAAGTATAATTTTTAGATTTATACAATAATGCACTTTAGATAAATTACTACTTGTAAACTACAAAATTAAGAGAAAAATAAAAATTTGAGACATAATTAAAAAAATGTGAGGAATCAAAAAATTACAAATAGATAGAATTCACTATTGCAATCTATAACAATATCCATCTCTTCTTTTTATTTCTTTTTTATTTTTTCATTTCTCTATTAGCTATATTTTCTTATTGTCTATTATTGTTGGTCACATTTCGTTCATACTACCTTCTTACAATCGACACTACCATCTCTCTTGTTTATCTTATCCTTTCATTTCGGATATCTTTGCACTATCATTGCCACAACATTAAATCCTCTCTTAACTCATTTTATCCACTCTAGGCACCGTTTGAGAAGGCAGGTTTGGGTTAAATTAGCCACTGCCGTCTAAAAAATGCTAAATTAACCAGTACCAGACAAATTTCATTCACATGGTTACACACAACCCAGGCTAGGGTGAATTTACCAAACTATCGCCATCACACTCTGATTCACACCAGTAATGCCTCACCACACAACAACACTTGAAATTTGCTAGGGCACAGACATGCTGAAGCGAAGGAGGCGATTCGTCGACGCTGAACAGCGAAGACATCTCGCGAAGCTTGCCAAAGCCGATCATCGTCGAAGTATGCATCATTGGCGTTGAAAAAGACACGCGAAGCTTGCCAAAGCCGAATGCCACCGGAGTACACATCTGCGGCGTCGAAGAAGAACTCACCGACACCACCAATGATGAGGTACTGGTTGCTTTTCTGTTTTGTTTTTGTTTTTTTTTTTGTGTGTAAATCCGTCTCATTCAACCCGATCTGGTGGGTTCATATGTGAAAGCCATTGTTATTTGTGCTTAAAAATTTTCCTTCAATTTTTTTTTTTTTTTTTTATGTTCATTTTTTGTTTGGCATGTGGGAAACCCACTACTCTCATGGAAATTAGGCCAAAATCCGACCTATTTTGTTGGTTTTAAACTACAAATTCTGATAAACTGATTCTACTTCATTTTTTTTTTTTTTTGGTGAAACTGAAGTTCTGATTAAAGTTTAATTTTTATTTCGGATTGAAAAATTAACCCATTGAACATGAAGGAACAGCACTGATTGTAAGGAACAACATGAAAAATTAACCCATTTAACATGAATTAATTTTTGGGCCAAAATTAATTTTGTTTGGATTGTAAGAAACAACATGAATTAATTTTATTTTTTGGACTTGTGAATTTTTTGTAAATGAGGTTCTGAAAATTCTTTTTTCTTTTTCTTTTTTCACCATCTCGCGAAATTTTTTGTTTGTTAAACTGAGGTTCTGATATCCCTTTGACAAATTTTGAGGTTCATGTTTATTTTGTTTGGATTGTAAACTGAGGTTCATGTTTATTTTTATTTTATTTTTTGGTGAAATCTCAAATTCTTGTTTGTATCTTGCTAAATTAATGACAGAATGACAACTAGAAGCAGATGAACCCTTTCACAAAGTTAGATTTAAATTTAAATTTGGGATTTAAAAATTAGCCCTTTGCACATGAAGGAATAACACTGAATTAACTTGAATTAATTTTTGGGCCAAAATTAATTTTGTTTGGATTGTAAGGGACAGCATGAATTCATTTTATTTTTTCCAGCATGAATTAATTTCTTTTTTTTGGACTTGTGAATTTTTTGTAAATGAGGTTCTGTAAATTCTGGTTTGTTTTTTTTTTTTTTTCACTATCTGGCGAAATGTTTTTGTTGTTAAACTAAGGTTCTGATAACCTTTTTACAAATTCTGATAATCTTTGTGCAACTGATAATATTCCTTTTTTTTTTTTTTTTTGTGGTGAAATCTAAAATTCATGTTTGTATATGTTGCCAGAATTAATGAAACGATGCCAACAAAATATGTATGTATATATATATATTTGGGAACATGAATTCCTATTTCTATCTTTGTGCAACCCTTTGACAAAGTCAGATTTAAATTTTAAATTTTATTTGGGAGTTAAAAATTAACCCCTTCAACATGAAGGAACAACATGAATTAATTCTTTGGCCACAATTATTTTTTTTTTGAAATGTTGGGTTAGCTTTTCGATTGTGAAATTTTTCTTTATCTCTTCACTAAAACTCTCATGGTTCCATAAGGGTTTTAAGCCTCTGTTTGGCAAGTTGCAAGTTGGGCTTTTTTGGCTATTTTAGCCATAAAAGACAAAATAGGCTATTTTAGCCATAACAAACAAAACATCACATCCAACCCATAATCATTACATTCTTCTCTCACAAAAAAACTCAAAAAAGTCAAAAAGCCAAAAAGCCCTTCCCAAACCAAGCTTTTAAGCCCAGGCTAAAATAGCCAAAAAAGCCAAAAAGCCAAAAAGCCAACCCACTTCCCAAACGGAGGCTAAGGTTATTTGCTATTTTCTAAAACAATATTGTGATTTGGAATTTTTGGACAAACCTAGGGTTTTGGGTTAAAACTCAAAAGATGGGTTTTCAAATAGATTCTTGGAAATGGTTGTGGGATTGTAAATGTGGATAAGTTGTGATAAAATGATTGTTTTTACCTTTGGGGTTGATTTATAAAGAAAAGAGGGTTTTTCCCTAAAGATTTCAAATGTTGATTTTGAAAAGATAATGGGATTGGTGTTGGAATTGTGAAATTGAGTTGGAATTGATAAGGATTGTAGAGTTGGGTATGTACAACCACTCACATCTTGAAATTTGAGAAAGTTTATCTTTATGGAAAACTTATTTATCTGTTTAGAGATATTTATTTTGGGCTATCAGTGGTGGATAACTATGATTATTGTAGAAATCACCTGAGAACTAGGAGAATTGAAACTATTTTTCATCCATTTGCATTGGGCATTATTGCACATTAACAAATTGAAAATGTTCATCGTTTTGAGAAAAATAGGTGAATACTTGGTGAATCTAGGTAGGGGGTGTGGTTATGATATTAAGTTGGGTTGTGTGTCCTTAGTGAAAAAGCAAAACCCACGCAGATAGATGTCGAGCCTTCTAGCTAATACCGGTAAAAATGATTGATTAGTAGTACTTGTGTAGTCTACATGTAGACACGCACCTAGAGATTCACAGAGTTGTATTCATAGTCTTGTTTTTTTATTGAAAGGGAATGTTTTACGAATTGTGATATAAACTTGGCATTGCATGGTATGGAAAGAGATATAAATATTTTTCACGAGCATCGAATACGCATTCACCTTATGATTTTGTTAAGATTCATAAACTGTGTTGTAGTATTTCTACTGAGCTTTGGCTCACTCTATGTGGAAAATCATTTTCACGTGCTGATAATATACCTCTGCCAAGGCAATAGCTTAGGAGGACTTGAGCAAGAGCTTCATTTTGTTTACTTGTTGTAATTATTTTTGCATAAGCCTAGGGTTTTATCTGTATTGAGTTTAAAACTCACCTTTGTTGTAACCAAGCACCATCTTGGAAAATTATAGCTATTAAGGCGTCATTTTTTTTTTTTTTTTTTATGTTCATTTTTTGTTTGGCATGTGGGAAACCCACTACTCTCATGGAAATTAGGCCAAAATCCGACCTATTTTGTTGGTTTTAAACTACAAATTCTGATAAACTGATTCTACTTCATTTTTTTTTTTTTTTGGTGAAACTGAAGTTCTGATTAAAGTTTAATTTTTATTTCGGATTGAAAAATTAACCCATTGAACATGAAGGAACAACACTGATTGTAAGGAACAACATGAAAAATTAACCCATTTAACATGAATTAATTTTTGGGCCAAAATTAATTTTGCTTGGATTGTAAGGGACAACATGAATTCATTTTATTTTTTCCAACATGAATTAATTTCTTTTTTTTGGACTTGTGAATTTTTTGTAAATGAGGTTCTGTAAATTCTGGTTTGTTTTTTTTTTTTTTTCACTATCTGGCGAAATGTTTTTGTTGTTAAACTAAGGTTCTGATAACCTTTTTACAAATTCTGATAATCTTTGTGCAACTGATAATATTCCTTTTTTTTTTTTTTTTTGTGGTGAAATCTAAAATTCATGTTTGTATATGTTGCCAGAATTAATGAAACGATGCCAACAAAATATGTATATATATATATATATATTTGGGAACATGAATTCCTATTTCTATCTTTGTGCAACCCTTTGACAAAGTCAGATTTAAATTTTAAATTTTATTTGGGAGTTAAAAATTAACCCTTTCAACATGAAGGAACAACATGAATTAATTCTTTGGCCAAAATTAATTTTTTTTTGAAATGTTGGGTTAACTTTTCGATTGTGAAATTTTTATTTATCTCTTCACTAAAACTCTCATGGTTCCATAAGGGTTTTAAGTTATGTTCAATTTCTATTTTGTGAAATACAAATTTTAGTAACTCTCAATTAAGAGGACAACGTAAATTCATGTTGACGGTTTTTGTAAATCTCAATCGTAACGCAAGAGGAACAGTACACCTTTGATTTAACAGATGGAATTTAGTTTGTAAAATAGAGAATTTGAATTGTATGTTAATTGAAAAATGGACATAGAGACAAATTGTACGTTAATTGAAAAATGGAAATGGAGACGAATTACAACTATGATTTATTCACTACAAGAAAATACACTTTTGGTGACTAAAATTTTAGTCGCCAAAAGTAAGATTTTTAGTCGCCGAAGCCTTTTCCCAACTAAATATTTTGGTCGCTAGATTTGTCACGGGAAAACGGTCGGGGAAGGTTTTGATGACTAAAAAAAATTTAGTCGTCAAAAGTCCTATAAATGGCTACTAATGTTTTAGCAGGGAAAAGTACAACGTATTGGCGACTAAATATTTTTCAGTAGTCAAAAGTCATAAATTGGCGACTAAATATTTAGTCGCCAAAGGTTTTCAAATAAAATTAATTTTCATTTTCAGCGACTAAAACTTTTAGTCGCCCAAAGCATCATTTATAATTAGCTACTAAATATTTAGTTGTCAAAAAAAATTAATTTTCATATTTTTTTTTAACTACTAAACTATTTAGTAGCCTGAAGTCTCATATATTTTTTACTACTAAATTTTTAGTCGCCAAAAAATCTTTGGTTTGTTTTTGGCTACTAAATTTTTAATAGCCAACAAGTTTTATTTTGTTTTTTTGACTACTAAACATTTAGTCACCAAAAACTTTATTTAGTGTTTTTTTATTATTATTATTATTATTAATTTCTGCACAACCTGTATTTATTTCGTGCAACCTGCACCCTGGATATAAACAAAACAATACATATGTCTATTTCTATTTCACTTTCAACCATCCAAAAATTTAGTCTTGTAACATCAAATTCTATACAAACCAAATATAATCCAACCCAAAATAATAATTCCATACAAACAGATAATCATACAAAAATGATGTCCTCCGTATACAAAAAAGAAATATCCACTAGTAATCTATACCACCAGAAAATAAGTTCATCTCTGTTGGATCAACAACTATTGCAGTAATTGGTAGTGGAAAAGCTCGAGTTTGTAAAAGTCTTCTAGTAACAAAGTCTCATACCTACAATATGAAAATAAGTCATTTCGAGAAACAAAAACACTCATGCTAGGAAGATATTATTATAAAACATTTAACATAATTAAGTAACCTTGCATGTGCCATCGAGGGAGCTTGATAAAACATTTAACAAAAATATTCATGCTAGGAAGATATTATAAATAGCTTTTTCTTTGTCAATACTTAGACTGGATTTTTTCATTTAACTAGTTGGATCCCCACGCGCTTTGCGTATGGGGGTCACGCCATTATTGGCTAGGAATAAAGCTATGGTGATTGTGCTATCGTTAGACAAAGACACGATACATTGTCATTAAATTCTATAAACTTTATTTTATGAATTGAAATGGCAAGCAAAATTGTCAAATATTGAATTAGAAAACATGATTTAAGAATTGTGGATCATTCATAGGCAAAAATAAAGCGAATACGTTGGCCATCTTAATTATATATGCTAATATGCTAGTTATCTGCACTGGAGTCAAATTTTTGAGCATTTGAACTCCATTATAGCGGAAATTGTTTCTCAATGTTCTGAATTTTGATGTACATTATTTGTCCCTAATTGAGGGCACAAAGTGATAGTTTAGGGGTCTCCACACAAAACAGAGGCATCATAGGTTATTGTTAAGTCAAAAGCAGAGCTACAATTATTAAATCATATAATTCACCATCTTAGTCTCACTCGGTTTAGTATAAAGCCATGGGGAGAAAAAGGAATACTACTTTCTGATGCAGTTTGATCTGAACCAACTGCCAGTGAACATGCACAATTTCATGAGCACGGATATGCAAGACAAAGCAGCAGCAGTGAAACAAAGATTGCTCCTTAAACCCAGCCCAAGTCAATCTTTAAAATTAAAATGGGAAAAAAAAATAGAGCCTTAAAATTGCTCATTCAGGCCTCGTTTGGGAACAGGCTAATTTAGTAACTTTTTGGTTATTTGGCTAAAATATGAGCTCAAAAAAACTAGTATGTTTGGGATGATTTTTTAACTTTTTATGAAAAAATGTGCAAAAAACAGAGAGAAAATAGAATCTTTGATTTTTTGGTATGGGTTGTTGGCTTTTTGGCTAATTTAGTAACTTTTTTGCTTTTTGACTAAAAATGAGGGTTTCCAAACGAGGCCAGTCAAAGAAGAATAAATTGAGCTAATGAGGATATATTGAGACTAAAAAGACCTCTAATAGAAGGCAATCCTTGGCTAGCTTATAATTGCTATCAGCATGATTCTTAGCCACCACTCTTGTTTGCCCAAAATATGTACCACTTTGCCCAATCATCAGTGTCGTTATAAGGAGCTCCATATAGTTTTATGGTCCCAACCATATATACAAACCAAACTCATAAGACCACAGAAAAGAAAACCATCGAACTCCAGAAAGTCTGTCAAATCTGTCCCAAGCTAATCCAAACTCATAACCACAATATAGTCTGCCAAATCTGTCCTAAGCTCATCCAAACTCTCATGAATCCTCAACTCCCCTCTATCCTCAACTCCCCTCTATCTTTACTAACCTTGAAAGAGTTTAGCTTATTTCTAATGACTTACGATAAAGATGGAAAAAAAATATATTTTGTAGGATGAAGTGAGGCAAAGTTACGAAAGAAAGATCAAACAATTGCAAAAAAATTAGAAAGAGCATACCTGATCCAGAATCAACACACCATAGGATTTTGAAATTGATTTGGTAAAATAAGAAATCAATGGATACTTTAGATCACGAAGCCTCCCAGATTTTCTATCTGCTTGGACCCATGCAAAATGGGAAAACTACAGAAAGAATAACATAAAATCATCATGATTCACAATGCAAATTAAGATTTCCTAAAATGACAGCAACCAACAGGAAAATGGAACAACTACACAGTTGGTGGAACAACAGATAATCTCAACTTACTGAACCAAAAATGCCCTACTCGTCTCACTTCAGAAAGGACCATTGTGTAATTAATTATTGAAGAAACTCTAGACTCTGGTTTTCTACTCTCTCCTCTAAAAAGGTAAAGGATGAAGGACCCTTCAAAACAAAACCAGACACTCTTCCTGACCCCTCCCCTAGCAACCATAACCAAGGCCCATCAAATTAACCCATCCTCCTCATATCCGAACAAAGCTGGGTCAGCAAAGAATAGAAAAAGAAAATAATATAGCACATAATATATAACCAACTATTGAGAAAAAGAAGACAGAAAAATTAAGGGTGGAGCAAGCCAAACCAAAGAGCAGATGTGGTGATTGATGGCTAATTGATGAAAATGAACATGATTGGGGCAATGATCTGTATGGCAACAAATATTAGGACTTCGAGATGATGTTAAAGATCACAATGAGTGGAGTGTAGCTTTGTTAATAATTGGGAATCAAATCATTACATATGCAAACGTGAATGGAGTGTATGATAAGTGGGCAACTATTGATAGATAAAGGAATAAAAACATGTAACTTTTGTTGTCTCTACATATACATCATTGGATTTTTACTTGGATTGAGTCTGAGATTGAGCCTTTAATTCGGCAAACTCTTATTTGAGAATGATTAGTGGAAAAACTCTCCTTTTTTTTTCTTTTTTTTTATTTATTTATTTAAGGTTTAAGGTTTAATTACATTTATCAATTAAACACAATATTAAACGGTCTCACATCGATTAGTGAATCTCCCGTACATATCTTGTGCTTTAGTTACCATATTTATTGGTTATATATGGTTATATATACTAACATAAATTTTACTACAACATCAATTTCTACTGGCATAAAAGTAAAAAATAAGATGAAAATGTATAATAAGCATGTTGTCCTGTATCTACGATAAGTTACAGAAGATGGCAAATGTAAAACAATCTATCTATACTAAAGTGAGGAATCTTGAGTTGTGTTCAAGTAACTTAGTGACTCCTCCTCTGCCTTCTCTTCTTTGCAGACTAGGGATTTTAATCAATTCTAGTTATGAAAAACGTATTTATTTTCTTATATAATTTTCAGATTTTATATATATATACATATTTAAAACCCATGGCATATATAAGTCCATCCTTGTGCTTGAGTTTGGCAATTACAGATCTGTAGATATGGTTCAATTCAGTAATTACAGGAGGGCATTTTTGAAAAACAAAAGCTGTGACATCCACACCAAATCCAGCCTTTGCTTTATATATTAGTATAAAAAACAAATAATTAGGTTTTTAATCTGGCATAATTACAAAAACACATTAAAGGTCAAACATGTGAAAAAAGAGGACCATGTAATGTTTGGAGGGTCTTTCCTAGTTGAATAAACCTTACCAATTGAGCCACAACAAATGCACACATCAGGAGAATCCCAGGCCTCTCCATAAATGACCAACTTTGACTGCGGGTAACAAATATAAGAGCTTGGCTGATAATGCTGACTTGAAGATACATAGCTGATGAAATTTCTTCAGTACTGGATAGAGACTCCACACCAAAATGGTTCTGCAGCCAAATCAGTAATTTAATAAGCCTGATTTCAGGAACATAAAACAAATTCAAGATTTGTATTTTTATATTTTTCCTCGGAACTTCTTAACAAACAAAATAAAGAAACAATTCTGTGATTATGGTACCTCAAAGAAAGAAGTGCTTCCTACAACCCAGTAAAACAAGACAGTAAATTAAAGCAAGATAAGTGCCAATGACAACACCGGTTGCAAATATTTCATAAAGCTTCCAACTGTCGGGTTTCGGAGATGGCTTCACCCTGTCTTTTGAAATTGTCATGATGGTCCCTGTTTACAAAGACAAAGAAACATATTTTAGTAAACATTTTACACCAAGTTCTTTTTTATTTTTTATTTTTTCCCAGATCGCTAAGCATCACAGTTTGTATATTGTAAAACAGAATTTTCAATTGCAATGGGAAGTGATTTTTTTAACTAACAAATAAGAATAATTTTTTTGTTTTTGGCTGAGCAGGGATATTTTGCCCCCTACACCCCAAAATTAAAATTGATATTATCACTTCACAGGCAAGTTAGATTTTAAAAAACTACAGTTTGGTTTTTTGTACTTTGAAATATTTATATTTACAACCAAAAAAAAAACTTAATACATAACCAGTGTAAATTTATTTCGCACAGAGCCAGGTAAAAGCAAAGTTAAACTAAGACAAAGCATTTATTTTTCTTAAAAAGATCCCATTTATCTTAATCCTAAATGTCGGGGAAAAAATTAGTGGCTCAAACTTCCATTCAAAATATTAAAGCCAAGCCAAGCCACATTGCTTAATTTCGAAATTTCATTTGTTATTTTTCTTCTTTCTTCATTGTTCATATAAAAAAGGCTTCCACACTTGAAACATTACCATCATTCAATATTGCTATTATCAGAACCATGAAAGGCGGAAAGTCATATTCCCGTATCAATGCTAGGAGCAAAAAACCAAGCTGCAAGAAGATTAAAATTCAGAAATTTTGTGAGGTTTAAGAGACAAAAGAAAATTTCTAACTTGATTGGTATATTTCAGACTTGAAACAAAAATTACAGTACATAGGATACTCCCAACTTACCACAATCCAAATTGTTATGGAGACAGCATATATCTGCATAATCACAAGTAACCCATGTAAGTATTGAAACATTAATCAGAGCAAGAATTACAATAAGGACATGTATATATGGAAGAGTGCATTGGTGGTCCTATATGTTCTTTGATGTGCCATGCATGCTTATTGATGTTGGCCATCAAAGACTCAGTGCACCCACAATGATAAAACATTTTCTTTCCCAAAATATTATGAAAAAATATAACTCTCATGCACATAAACTTCAGACTTCTAAGCCACGAAAAACTTCAGACTTCAGACTTCTCAGAAATTTTCATATGTATAGTCTGAAAAATCAAATTAGCCATCCTAGCCACCACTTAAAACATAATATGTTTTCTTATGGGCATATCATCAAACACATAGTGTACAAAGTTTTTCTATACTAACAAACACCAAGACATGAACATTGGCAAACCTAAAAAAGTGAAAACTATAAGGTGTAAAACTGCCTCCCTCCACCACATACACACAAATTGATATGGACAAAGATATTGATGAGTAGGAATAGATGACTCAACTAACTAGAAAAAAAAAAAATCAAATTTATTTTTCTAAAAGTGATGGCGCTTCATTTCATTGGGCAATATTATAATTTCATAGAAATTATAATTTCGAAAATCAAACCCATTTTCGACATGAAGAATATCATAATTTCATAGAAATCAAACACTTCAACCAAACCCAATATCGAAATCAACACAAAATTAAACTAAAAAAATCATATAAACCCTAGATGAAGTGTGAGAAATGGGGAAATAGGGGAAGGGAGAAAGAGAGAGAGAGAAACAGAGAGAGAGGGAATGGCTCGACACAGAGAGAGAGACCCAGGTCGACAACGAGGGAGAGGACCGAACGCGACAGTGACAAACCTGTGATTTGCGGCAGTGTTGGTGGTGATTTCGGCGATGGCGGTGGTGACGTGCGACGGTGGGGATGGACGGTGGCCAACGACAGTGGTAGTGACAGTCGGTGGTGAGAGGGAGAGGCAGAGGGAGAACCGCCGAAGAAAGAGAGATGAGGCGCTGGTTTGTGGTTTGGAAACCAAAATATATATATTACACCATTGGCGACAAAAAAATTTTAGTCGCTGAAAATATTTCATAAATCCCTCCAAACTATTTAAAATATCTCCCTCCAATAATTTTAGTTCTTTGGCGACTAAAATTATTTTTCGTCGCTGAACATAAACTTTTGGCTACTAAAATTTTGGTCGCCAAAGATAAAAAATAATTTTTTATTTTCCAATCGGAGGCTAAAGCGTTTTAGTAGCTAAATCTCTACCTACGGCGACTAAAATTATTTTTCATCGCTGAAAATAAACTTTAAATAATTTTTTATTTTCCAATCGGCGACTAAAGCAGTTTAGTAGCCAAATCTCTACCTACGGTGACTAAATTATTTTTTTTTGTCGCCAATTCTGGCATTTTTGGCGACTAAATTTTTTTTAGTCGCCAATAAACAATATACCCCAACTAAAAAAAATTAGTAGCTAAATATTTTACTTTTGCCGACTAAAACATTTCTACAACTTTTTGTGACTAAATTTTTTTTAGTCGCAAATTTTGGTCGCCAAAGGTGCATGTTGTTGTAGTGATTGTTACTTTCAAATGGTTGTCAATTAAAGCGTGGTTAAAGAAGTAGTTGCTATTTTTCCATACATTGTACAATAACTTTCACGTGACCTTAACCACTTTGTATTCAAATTTTTGTGTTACCAAAAAAAGTTAATTTATGAAATAATCGAATAGCCACGTCATCATTTACTTTATTTGTGTTTTATAGGAAAATAATCTAATTTCACATACGGAGAAATTTGTAATTGAAAACTTACATTTTCCCTGTTGTGAAACCTCATTTTTAAATAACAAATGAGGACATTCTTCATTTTGTACCAATCTGACAATTTCCTAAACTGTGAATAATGTGCCACCTACATGTTATCATTAGTCTTTCACCTGGTTAGCAAACATAGCAGGGCTTCGTTTACCTCTACTGCAACTTCTAATACATGGCCACATCGGGTGTGTGTCTGTGGCTATGGCCACTGTATTGTTAAGATATCCAGGTCGACAAAAAATCAAAGCGTCCCTACTTTGCATGCCCCCGCCCTGTGGTCAGTGCCAAATTCATTAACAGTCATAACTACATTTCATTACGAACCAATTGACTAATAGCTTCGTCATCTGCACTCATCAGCCTTATGTCAGTTGGATTGGTTGGTGCGAAGAACCTAGGCGATAGAGCACGGACGATGCGTCATCCAAAAATGACATTGTCATTCAATTGCAAGATGATGTCATACAAATTCAACAGTCATTGTGTCTCCTTAAAATCATTGTCTATGTGCTATGCATTGTCGTTGTCATTTTGTTGTTGGGTATGTAAGGAATCTTGTAGGAGGTCGTACAGATGTTGCATGTTATGTAAATAAGTTTGCCTTGCGTTACATGATTTTGGGTTACGCATAGACATTAATGACTACTCTTATATACTGTTTTAATTCCGATGTTTATATTCGTTCTGCATGAATATTATGTGTTTGTATTGCTATGTTACAGAATGTGCAATGGTTACTTACTATCCAATGTAGCATCCAATTATTGTGTTTACTGTGCAATGTCCATACACTGTTCATGTGAACCAATTAAAATTATTGTGCTGTGGTCTTACATGTATGTGTATAACAAGCAAACATGGCGGTGATGATTATTTTCACCCGTAAATTAGTTGCCTTTGTTGTGTGGTTACTCCAAATGGCTTCGATACAAACTTCTCCTCGTACCCAATCCAAAAACAAAGGCATTGCTCCAGATAAGTCAACCAGTGTCGAAGAGACATACAAGCAGTTAAATCACAAGGCCTCGTTGGACAGTGAGTCAATCCGAATTTTTCTATAGTTGATTGCCGATGAGATTACAAAAGGAAATCGGCCATTCCTAGTCCTAAGCCAAGCTAGATACAAGTCGTTAGCATGGGAATTTGAGAAAAAAACAAGACGAAAACATGGCTTGAAACAGTTGAAGAATAAATAGATAGCCCTGAAAAAAGAATTGAATGCTTGGAGAAAGTTGATGGATTCCAGCAAAGGAGTATCAGGGATTGGCTTTGATAGCGAAACTGGTATGTTTTAGGCGTCAAATGAGTGGTGGGATAAGATGAAATCGGTAAGCACAATGTCATTTTGTTATGTTTGTTTCGTTTCATATTTGCCTTTTAGCAATATGTATTTCACGATTTTGGTGTTACTAAAAACTTGCCATATTGTATGTAACGTTTTATTTTTTTGCACTGTCCATTTTTGCAGACAAAGAAGGCGTGTGCCAAGTTCAAGAAAAAAACATTGGAACATCGAGAGTTGATGGAGACGGTATTTACATAGGCATCAGCTACTAGTAAGCACCATTAGTGTAACGCCCCAAAAATAAACCCAACATGTATAATACATCAAGTCACATTCATTATAAGGTAATAACCATGGCTCAAGGAATGCTGGAAAGATGTATTCACCATGTTTCTTTACATAGTTCCAAATGTTATACAAAAATAATCTCACATGCGATTATACATTCATTGACAAACTAGTAGATGAATCTATAGCATGTAAAATCATTTAATTAAAACGAATAAGGCCCTCAAGGGCTTACAAGTTCCAAGACAATAGCCCGGTTACATAAAATGGTCTCTTAGATTCATACAGATTAGCCCTTGGCTTTGCAAAAAGTTAACACAAATAAAAGAGCAATCTACTCTTCACCAAAAATATATCCACGCCCTCAGTTTGGCGAGATCACCACATCTTTACCTGCACCAAATCTCATAGGGGTGAGCATAAAGCCCAGTAGAGAATTCTTACAAAGTATATACAGTTATGCAAACTCAATAAAAATGTAAATGTCAATGCCATGCCATGCTCCTTTAAAGAAATTTCATTCATGCTCCTCTTGAGGATTTCCATTTTTCAATAAAAGCTTGTAATCTCAACACATTTCAAAACTTCCAATTTTAATCAATAAGGGCAGTAAATACGACTCTGGTAATCCCTAGGTTGGTGTCTACAAGTAGGCTCAACAAGCACTACCAATACCCCACTTTACCATTTGCTAACCAGAAGGGAAGTGGTACCTCCTCCGCGCGTGTTTTCGGTCTTTCACCCCGGACACTCAGGCCAACTTATCAATCTCATCTACACTGCCTAACCGGACTTACCAACGTATTTACCCCTTTAACATTTCCATAGATTTCATTTCAATATAACCTTTCTCAATGCGAATGTTTTCTAACTCATGTCAAGATGTACAATAATGATAATAAATCAATTGAAAACATGATGCAATAATTACTATTTCGTAGCATTTTTCTATTCTCAAGATATCTCTACAACAATATCAATTAATCTCATTTCTCATTTCTTCTCTTCAAAGCTATTTCACAAGGTACTCATGAGCCATCAATTTATAGTAACACAAACTCTCACTATGCACAAATCACTACAAGTTAGCCTCTGCAAGGCAATATGTGATGTTTTCAACATAATCTCCAAGATTTCACTACTTTCACATTCCATGGTACATAATCGTTCACCACTTTCCAACCACATGTTCAAGCATTTAACAATATGTTACAATAACATTTTATGTCTCATACATCAAATAGATTTCCATTTTTTACCAAACATGCTATGAGATTTACTCTCATTCATCCTCTTGACACAAAATGATATAGAGTTTCATAGGTATTTCCTTATTTTCCAAAATTCCCAATTTCTAGGGTTTTTCATCAAGACAAAACACTTCTCATTTCTTTGGTAAAACCCAATTAAAATCACATTTTCTTAGGTTTATAAATGAACAACCATTAAGGAGTAACAAAGACTGAGTTTTGGAAACCCACATTTAAAACTCTGTACCCTTTGGATCAAAATGTAAAATTAACACAAAACTTCAAGAAAACCTTTAAATCATCAACAATGTAGCAAAACATGTATATATAACTCAAGAATGTCCCTACCTCAAGATCTTGATGATGGAGAAAATGAAACCCTAGCTTTAATGGATTATTCTTCAACACTCACTATACTAAAAGGAGTCCTAGCTTGATCTTCAAGATTAGAGGAAGATGGTGATGGTCTTGACCCAAAGATTTGCTAAATCAAGGAGTTTTAGTGTTTGAGGAGATTTTCTAGAGAGAATGAGGAGGAAAATAGGGTTTAGAGTGAGATAGAAAAGCCCCAAATGTGTTTTAAGTTCGGCCACAAAGAGGAAGAAAAACAGAGTTTTGGGCTACCCAGTTGGCCGCACGTGCGGCCTACACCCCCGCACGTGTAGTGCCCCCTTTTCCGCACGAGCTTTTTAGACAGTGTACAAACCCTTGCTGCTCAACCTTCACTGCGCGTACGACCTCACCCCCCGCACGTGCGGCCCTGGCCCAGCAGCCCAGAAAATTTCCTCTTCGCTCCCGGGCACTCCGAACTTGACCCCACACTTCTCGGAAAAAGAAACTTCAACACCGAATAAAAACATGAATAGAAATTACATTGAGATAAACCCTCCAGACAACACAAACCCCAAACACTCAACAAGGCTCCAAAATAACCCGACACTCTATCAAAGTAAATTCAAGGTTAAACGAGGGAGAGAACGAAATTAGAGACATACTCAGTCATCACAATTGGACCCCAGGAGAAAGAGTTACTGAAGCTACCGACGTCTCATCTGATTTTGTGGACAGTCTCGGAGCCTAGCTATTTGGTGATCCGATACCTGTACGAGCAGAGGACGTCGATTCAGATTCTTCAATCGAACCTGTTTCGATTGGGGACAAGAAAAGGAAACGGACTTCGTCAACAAGCTGTGGAAAGTCGAAGAAGGCCACAAGTGGGGCGTCA